GCCCAGGCTGGTCTCAAACCCGTGGGCTCAGGCAATCCACTTGCCTCAGCCTCCCAAAGTGCTGGGATTACCAGGCTGAGCCACCAAGCCTGGCCATTTAGTGTATTTTTACATCAGAGTTTAGATCCCAAGCAGTTACTGACTTAAGCAGTGTTCAGACTGCATTAGTCCGCATTTTTTTCAAGTTACTATAGCTTTGAACAATTTGGGGCCACATACTTTTAGTTGGTTACAGTTCTTTGCTTACACTGGGAGTTTTGGTTTATAAGAATTAGCTAATAATTAACATTGCACATACATTTGATTCAAAAGAATAAAAAAATCAATTGTTATTTAAAGACTAAGGAACAGACACATTTCTGGGTTTTAGGGAGTTTTAGCTGAGCTCATTTTTTTATCTAGGTCTGGCAGAAGCTTCTCCAAGGATGTGCAGTTTCTTTGTATCTCCTGCTTATCAAGGGGCTCAAAGCAGACGGTGGTGTTCCCTTCAGTACCAGCCAGAGTTACTAGATCCAAGGGCAGCAAAGGGGGAAAAGGCATTTTAAATTCAAGCAGCTTCTACATTTTAGCCCAACTCAATTATCTAAAGTAATTAAAATAGCTCTGAAATTCCAAATTCCCATTACAGTTTTCCCACTGTCAGTTATACCCATGATTTTTATCAGAGGGTGATTGGATTCCCTCAATTTGAACAGTTTTCTTAGGGATTTTTAGCATGCTTTTATTCCAAAACCAGAAACAAAATCAGTTGGTTATTCAAATTGCTTTTAAAGCAAAAACCCTAGGGATTAACAAAATACAGATACAGATCAAAAAATATTCTCAAGGCACTGACGGGCTAGGACTGCCTTTCCCTGTCACCTACAGACGGCCCAAAGGACCCAGATGGGAAACTGTCCACTGACCCCCATCTTACATTCCAGTTTGTCTTTTCCACAAGTGCATCCACTTCAGACCCTGTTTCCTCACCAATTCATACAAGGAAAGGTAGTGGCTGTAGCCAACAGGGATGTACCTCAGCATACTCACAGCAAAGTCTCTACAGCAACTGCAAGGATGTCTCCAGTGAAAGGTCCTGCCAACATGGTCCTGCTTTGATCACTAAATGTTACAGTCCAATGCCACAACCAGTTGCTTGCTCTCATGGCCAATAAGATATGAGAGGCAGAAAACTGAGAGAAAAAAGGTTTATTCTGAATTCAGAATTCAAGGAACAGGCTTGGTATATTTTTACTAGGCCTACCCAAAGCAACACAAACTTATCCCAGTATTTATAGTAAAATGGGCATCGTCTTATGTCTTAACTAATGATTAATAGCAATTACATGTCTTGTGACCATTACTTAGTATCTTTTTAGATCAGAGCTTAGACTCCAAGCAGTTGCTGACATAAATCAGTGTTCAGATTGCATTAATCCTGCCATTTTATCAAGTTACTATGGCTTTGAACAATTTGGAGCTGTGTACTTTCAGTTGGTTACAGTTCTTCGCTGATATGAGCAGTTTTGGTTTATAAGAATTAGCTAATAATTAACATTATACATAAATTTGATTTAAAGGTATAAAACAAAGCAGTCGACACCTAAAGACTAAGGGAACAGGTATATTTCTAGGTTTTAGGAATTTTTAGTAGAGCCCATTTTTTATCTAGATCTGGTGGAGACTTTTCCAGTTTATTTGCATCTTTTGCTTATCAGGGGGCTCAGTGCCAATGATGGTGTTCCCTCCAGTACCAGCAACAGTTACTAGATCCAAGGACAGTGAAGGGGGAAAGGCACTTTTAAATTCAAGTGGCTTCCACATTTTAGCCCAACTTAAAGTTTCTTAATCTTTAAAATCGAAAGTGCTGGGCTCGGTGGCTCAGCCTGTCATCCCGTGCCTTTGGGAGGCTGAGGTGAGTGGATTGCCTGAGCCCGCGGGTTTGAGACCCGCCTGGGCAGCGAGACCTCATCTCTACAATAAATCAAAAAAATCAGCTGGGCGTGGTAGCGCATACCTGTAATTCCGGCTACTTGGAAGGCTGAGGTGGAAGGATCACCGGAACCCAGCTGGTCGAGGCTGCGGTGGCCGGGAGCGGCCACTGCACTCCAGTCTGGGTGACAGAGTGAGACTCCAACTCAAAAAAAATTAAAAAATTCAAAAAATTTAAAAAATAAAATAAAATCAAAAGTAATCAAAATAGTTCTGACATTCCAAATTCCCATTATAATAGCACTGAAAGGCAGGAGAAAAAATAAACAAACATAATAAGTTAATAAATAAGAAGTAAAAGTAAATGACATACAAATTAGAGAAAAGGAAGTTGCACTGTCCCTGTTTGTAGATATTATTTATAGAAAACTCTAAACATTCCACTAAAAAAAGTTAGATCTAGTAAATTAATACAATAAAGGTTCAGAATACAAAGTCAACATATAAAAATCAGTAGTATTTCTATTCACCAATAGCAAACTATTGGAAAAAGAAATCAACAAAGCAATCTCATTTAAAATAGTTATTATAAAAACAAAATACCTAGGAATAAATTTAGCCAAGGAGATTAAAGATCTCTACAATGAAAACTATAAAATATTGATTTAAAAAATAGAAAAGAATACAAAGAAATTGATAGATACCTTATATTCATGGATTGTAAGAATTAATATTGTTAAAATGACCATACTACTCAAATCAATCTACACATTCAGTACAGTCTCTATCAAATTTCCAGTGTCATTCTTCACAGACATAAAACAAAATTTATCACAAAAGACTCCAAATAACCAAAGCAATCTTAAGCAAAAAGAGCAATACTGGAGGCATCACACAATGATTTCAAAACTACAAAAACAAAATACAAAACCAAAATAGCATGGCATTGGCATAAAAACAGATACATGGAATAATGAAGCAAAATAGTCCTGACATAAATTCAAATGTTTACAGCCAGCTTACTTTTGACAAAGTTGCCAAGATCACCCAGTGGGAAAAAGACAGTCTTCAATCAATCATGTTGGAAAAACCAGACAGTCAAAAGCAAAAGAATGAAGGTAGAATCCTATCACTCAACATATACAAAAATCAACCCAAAATGGATTAAATGTTTAAATGTAAGACTCAAAACTATGAAAGTGCTAGATGAAAAGCATAGGGAAAATGCTGACATTGGTCTGGAATTTTTTAAGAAAAGACATCAAAAGACACAAGCAACAAAAGCAAAAAGACATGAGCAATAAAACAAAAAATAAGTAACTAGGGTTACATCAAACTAAAAAGCTTCTGCACAGCAAATAAAACAATCAAGAGAATGAAGAGACAACCTATAGAATGGGAGAAAATACTTGTAAACTATTCATCTAGCAGTAAGTTAATATCTAGAATTTATAAGGAACTCAAACTCAATAAAAAAATACAAATAATCTGATTAAAAATTGAAAAAAGGTTGAAAAGACATTTCTCCAATGACATTAAAATTGTCATAAAGTATATATATTTTAGAAAGCTTAGCATTACTTACCATCAGAGAAACACAAGTCAAAACCACCAAGAAATATCATCTCATTCTCATTAGAATGACTTTTATGGAAAAGTCAAAAAATAAAACCTGGTGAGGATGTGGAGAAAGGGGATTGCTCATATGTAGCTGATAAAAATGTAAATTAGTGCAGTCATTATGGAAAACTGTGATGATCCTTCAGCAAATTAAAAATAGATATACTATATGATCTGGCAATCCCACTACTGGGTATACAGTCGAAGGAAATGAAATCAGTATGTCAAAGAGGCATTTGCACTTCCATGTTTATTACAGCACGATTCACAATAGTCAAGATATGGCATCAACCTAAGTGCCCATCAAAGGATGAAAGGATAAAGAAAATGTAGTATATATGCACAATGGAATACAATTTGGTCAATGAAAAAAGGATGACCGGGCTTGGTGGCTCAGTCTGTAATTCCGTGCTTTGGGAGTCTGAGGTGAGTGGATTGCCTGAGCCCACGGTTTCGAGACCCGCCTGGGCAACTTGGCGAGACCTCATCTCTACAGTAAATCAAAAATCAGCCGAGCATGGTAGCGCGCGCCTGTAGTTTCAGCTACTTGGAAGGCTGAGGCGAAAGGATCGCCAGAGCCCAGCAGGTCGAGGCTGCGGTGGCCGGAGCGGCCACTGCACTCCAGTCTGGGCGACGGAGTGAGACTCCAACTCAAAAAAAGAAAGAAAGAAAGAAAAAAGGATGAAATCCTGTTATTTCCCACAAAATGGGTAAGCCTGAAGAACACTATAGCAAGTGAAACAAGTCACTTGCACAGAAAGATAAAGATTGCATGTTCTTACTCATATATGGAATCTAAAATAAAAAACGAATCTCATAGAAATGGAGAATCTCATAGAAATGTAGAATAGAATAGCGGTTACCAAAGATCGGGGAGAATAGGGAGGAGATGTTGATGAGGAGAGGCTGGTCAAAGTGTATGATGTTACAGTCAGACAAAGGGTTGAGTTCTGGGACTCTATTGCACAGTAGAGTCATTCCACTAACAGTTATAACAACGCATTTCACATTTCAAATAACTGGCATAAAGGAATTTGAATGTTCTCAAAATAAATGATAAATGCTTAAAATAATGAATATGCTAGTTATAATGACTTGATCATTAAGCAATATATACACGTCTCAAAACATTACATTGTACCCATAAATATGTGCCATGTGTGATTATTATGTGTCAACCTAAAAAAACAGGAAAAAAGGAAAAGGGAAGAGACACGATATTAGGGGATTCGATGAGATGGAAGGTGAATTGGCAATAAGGAAGTGCGCGTCTTAAAGAGCCAGACATTAGTTAGAGCTTATAGCATTAGGAGTCGATTTCAGGCTACTGAAAAGCCCATGCCAGGCCTCCCCACCTGCCCATCCAGGATCCCGTGGAAGAGACGCAGGAGCCTCCCAAGGGCAGTGACAGCCTCTTCCTGGGCCAGTGACTCGTGTGGCCGTGGAGCAAAGACCAGACGAGCACACAGATGCTCAGGGGCCACACGTGCGTCACACACACCTGCACGGACAAGCGCCCCTCCCCCCCGCCCCCGCTCCGGGCCGGCCCTGCCCACCTGGCCCAGGCTTCGGCCTCCTCCCCCAGGCGGACCCCTCTGACGGAGAACACCGGGGCAGGACCAGGGGCCTCTGGAAGCGTCGGGCAGCAGCTGGGCGGACGGGGCGAGGGGCGGCGGCGCCTCAGGGCTGGGAGGGAGCCCGGCGCAGCCCTGCACGCTGTGCGTGCGGGAGCCCAGGCAGCAGGCCGGAGGCCTCCCCTCTGAAGGGGTGCCGCGTCTTAAAGAGGGTACCGCATTGGGAACTGACTTTGGGTTTCTGAAAACTCGAGTTTGTGGCCGTGAAGGTGGGTGGCTCAAGTGGAGTGGAAGTAAGAGTCAGCCAAAGATTAAGTTAAACAAGATGATATATTGCTTGGCATATGGCAGGGACTGATAACGTGCAGGGAAATTCGCTCCAAAATGCGGCTCCCTGACTTAATGAGTATTTTGTTTTAAAAGACCTTAATAACCAATAGGCCTTCGAAGAGACTTTTCTCCTATCTTCAGAAAGGCCACATGGACCCACCAAGAAGTACACTTGCTTTTCCTTCCTTTTCCTATTATCCCATTATCTATTATAGGGAGAGGAAGAATGTAATAGACATGGCCCAACCATTTCACAGCATAGTGCCTGTCTCTCAGGTTCATTCAACTTCCAAACAGGACATTTATAAGTCATTCTCTGTTTTCCCCATTCATCCATTCTCCAAATCATTTGTTGCCCCTCAGTAGAATTTTTCTTATTCCCCCTCCCATAGCCTGTTTTACTAGAATTCAAGCCCCCATTCTTTCTGTAACCTCAAGATGGTATTGATGTTTCTGTAACTGACTGGGAGGTTGGGTCTTCATACTGAAGCCTCCTATGTATACATGTCAAATAAATGTGTATATCTCTTCTCCTATTAATCAATCTGCCTTATGCTAGCGATTTTTCAGTAAACCTTTAAGGAGCCAATGTCTATGGCCCCTATAGTACTTCAGAAATATTAATAACCTTAAGAAAATTAGAGATCCCAAGGCTACTTGAGATGATAGGCTATTATCATAATACTCATAGATGTGGCAATATCTTCCTCTCTCTAGTGGAGAAAGTAATTAGAGAGTCCTGACAATGGTATAACCTCTAATAAAATATAGATAAAATAGATCAAAAGGGTTTCTCCAGATCTCACTGATCACAGCGTACCAGAATCGCTTGAGCAACTTGTAGGGAAAAAATTGGGAAAGACTTTTCAGATGGATCAAGCAGATTACTACTGGGTGTCTTCAGTGGAAGTCTCAGCCTTGATAATTTTCTGAGTTATCTGCTTCTATGGCCTCTGTGCCTTTCATTTACTGGCAATTCTGTAAGTTGTAGACCACTGATAGCAATACAAATATCCTTGTATATACACATGAAAATGCTAATTTCTGGTCGAGGTATAATTAATTTCCCTCTCTCCACCTCCCATCAAGAAGTCAGTTTTGAACCTATGAAGCAAATCCATTTATGTTCCTTAGTGCCTAGATATGCGTGGTTCTTTGAATTCTCCATAGAGCTAATTATAACATTTTATTGACTCCCTCATTAATAATGAATTAAATAAAAATGTTAGACAAATGTTTATTTATTCTTGTAAGTCATGTTTCAGCATTCCTAATTTTTTCTTTAGCATTCCTAAAAATATAGATTCCTGTGTCCTACACTAGACCACTAAATTAAAATCTTAGACAATGCACAAGAATCTGCATTGTTAATAAGATCTTCAAGTGATTACCAGGCATATTAAAGTGTATTAACCTCTGAGTTCTATTAATAATCTCTTGAACCAAAATAAATTTTTGTATTTGTTCCATTAAAAGGCCATATGTACAAAGGAGCTCCCAAATGACATTGGCTCCTTAAAGGTTTACTGAAAAATCACTAGCATAAGGCAGGGTGATTAACAGGAGAAGAGGTATAAAAATTTATTTGACATGTATACATAGGAGGCTTCAGTATGAAGACCCAACCTCCCAATGAGTTACAGAAACATAAATACCATCTTGAGGTTACAGAAAACAAAAAACAAGGCAGACAAAGGTAGTTTATCAATATTAGATGATTTACCCACAAACAGAAGCATTGTCTTGGGCCTCTGCAAGACAGGTGGATCTCCACACTTACTCTCCAGACCTATGGCTTATACACCATAGGGAAAGGGCATAAGTGTTCCAGCAACCCTCCATAACAGAGAAACCTCCAGAGCAAGCAAGAATGCTATATGCGGCAAATCTCCAGAACAGGCAAGAATGCCATTTGTGTCATGGCCTATAATTTGTGAGATAACATCAAGGTTGCTTTGATCTAAAAGCAGGAGTATGTGTTCTTATGCAACAGACAGAAAATAAAGTAGAAAACAGAAGGCATTCACAGAACTGGGGCTAAACAGAAGTCAACATGGAGGATTAGCATACAAGATGGAGTCACTTTTGTCTCCACAGTATTTAGAATTCCATCTCACCCAAATAAACTTTTGGTTAACAAAAATGGTAGAAACCCCCTTATTCAATAAGACTGGGACCACTAATGAGTAGATTAATCAAAAACTTAAGTAAAAGGAGGAGTCATAAGAAATATCATATGTATGTCCTCAAGATTTAATTTTAATTTAAAAGACATATGTATAAGTACATTTTCCAATATTTTGATGTAAAATCAAAGCCTTGTAGGGATTCACAGAAGTCAAGTTTATTTTTTCTTTTATTTCTTTTTCTCTTTTTTTTTTTTTTTTTGAGTTGGAGTCTCACTCTGTCAACCAGACTGGAGTGCAGTGGCATGCTCCTGGCCACTGCAGCCTCGACCTGCTGGGCTCCAGCGATCCTTCTGCCTCAGCCTTCCAAGTAGCCAGAACTACAGGTATGTGCTACCACACCCAGCTAATTTTTGACTTACTGTAGAGACAAGGTCTCGCCAAGTTGCCCAGGTGGGTCTCGAACCCACAGGCTCAGACAATCCACTTGCCTCGGCCTCCCAAAGTATTGGGATTACAGGCTGAGCCACTGAGCCCAGTCTCTTTTTTTCTTTTTTTACAGATATAAAGTCTTGCTATGTTGCCCATGATGATCTCAAACTCCTGGACTCAAGCAATCCTTCTGCCTAGGCCTCCAAAAGTGCTGGGATTATAGGCGTGAGCCACTGCACCTAGCCAGATTCATTGGAATCTCTTGCAGAAACCATGTCAATGATACATTGCCACTGATTTCTAGTTTCACTTTTGATAAAGTAAAAACTTGGGTAAAGCAATCTGAGAACTGAATCCTAGATTATACAAATTTTCCACTTGTTTCCAGTTGTTTTGCCAACAATTAATCTGGAATCAACTATTTTAGTGTCTCATCTTTCCAGTGCATTCAGCTTATTTCTCACAATATGTTGCCACCATACCCTTCTGTAAAATCTTGGTGTACTTCTCTCAAGGTACTTTGGTGTCCAAGAATAACAGGTAGCATTTATCATGCATTTACTATTTATCAGGGACTTTAAAAAATATTACTCTATATTAATTGAGATCTCATTCCATTTTACAGCTGAAGAAACTTAAATATATGGAGAGTAAATACCTTGCCAGCTTATAAAAGTTTGTCCAGTCAAGCAGTCTGGCTCTAGAAGCAACTTACTCCACTATATGTTATATTACCACTCACTGCACACTATTTACTTAGATGACGGCCCTTAACTTCCAGCCTGGGGTCTGAAGCATATTTGTATCTCCCAAGCAGGGTCTTACACGGAGATGACTGGTAAACAGGGAATTGGCTGCCAATGGTCTCCATGACGGGGCATGTTCCTATGCATCTAGTTTTTCTCCTGCTGTTTCCCTCCTGCCCTGCCCTCTGGTCAAGTCACACTCCTAACTGTCCCACATTCTTCACTTCTCCAGGTTCTACTTCAACCGACATGGATGTGCAGTGCCTACTCTGAAGCAGGCATGGTATGGGTATAGGTGAAACAAGGATGAGCAAGTCACAGTTCTTGTCCTAAAAATATACAATTAAGTTATAGCATATGAAGTGCAGGATATTTGGGGAAATAGAAGAGGTAATTCAAAGATAGTTTTTTCAAGGACATGATGGCTGAGTTTGTCGTGAAGGATGACAAGTGGGCCAAATGAAGCGGAGGCATGGGAGGGAGAGGCAGCAGCAGAAGCCAGACATTCAACATTATCCAACAACTCTGTAACTGGAGTTACAGTGGCAGGGGTGAAGCTGTGGGAAAAGAGGCCAGATCAATGGTTGATTAACCGGTGCTAGGACCCCCACAAAACCACTTTAATACATTTTACATGGAATCAAACTCAGCGAGTCTAGCTACAAAAACCACACGGGCGCACTATGGCGGTGGTTTGGCTGGGGAGACCGGCGAGCGAAGGCAGAGGATGCGGGCGGAAGGGAAGGAGGAGGAAAAGGGAGGAGAAGGGAGGCGGGCCAGGCAGGGGGTGAGTAGAGGAAGGGAGGCGTCCGCCCCCGGTCCGCATCACCTGGCCCCATCCCGGCTACCTGAGGCCCAGCGGGAGGTCGACGCGAGCCCACCTCCCGAGCCGACTGCGGCTGTGAGGCCCACCGAGTCCGCCAGAGGGCGCGTCTGCGGCTCGTCACCAGGCCTCTCTCCCACCGGAAAAAGGAAGTGGAGCGGCGCTTCCGGTCCAGTGGCGCACGCGCAGTACTTTCTTGCGGCTGCGCGTCTTCCGCTGGGAACTTAGTGCGGTTTACCCAGAGCTGGCCGGTACCCGGCGGGCCATGGCTGAATACGCCCACGTGAAGTCCACCAAACTTGTGCTCAAGGGGGCGAAGACACAGCGGTAAGCACGGAAGCGCGCGCGGTGACTCTCCGTCCTCCCGGTGACTGCGCCGCTTCGCGCCCTCCGCTCCTCTTGCCGTGGCTCCCGCCCCGCGAAGACTCGGATCAGTGCGGTTCGGCGGGGCTGAGTCGCGAGGGGCTGAGGGCTCGACAGGGCTGTGGGCACTGGTCTGGACTTTTCCGTGTCCTCGTCGTGTGCATGTGGCGACCTGATTCTTCGCTCTGCGCTGGCCTACCCTCGCGGATCCTTCTGGGATTCGAGGGCTAGCGAGGCGACGTGCGTGCGGTCAGTGGACGGAGCCCTGTGCGAGGAGGAGGCCGCAAGGCGACCGGGCAGGACCTCTGTGCACGCGCACGCCTCCTCTTTTGTAGCCGCTGGTGTGTTTGCGTGGACCTTACACGCGCTGTCTGCTCCGAGGCTTACGGAGGAAAGAGCTCTTGGTACTTCCAGGTGTAGTCAGTGTCCAGGAGCGGCTGAAGCCGCCGTCCTGGAGAACCTGCCTAGGGTGTGGCATCGTGGAGAATTGATTCTGAGTAAGTCTGAGACTTTTGCTGTCTAAACTTGCTGAGAGGAGGGGAGAGTTGTCTTCTGAAAACTTGCTTTACGATTACAATGTAAACAAATATGTCTTATAACAATCAGTTGTAAGTATAGCACTTTATAAGCACTTTGCATTTTTATCGCTCTTTTTTTCATTATTGAGATGCAATTCATATATCATAAAAGTCAGCCTTTTAAGGGTACAGCCCAGTGGTTTTTAGTGTATTCACGAGGTTCACTGCTATCCAGTTGCTCAACGTGGTCACCACCCTAGAAGGAAACCCCTTACCTTTTAAGCAATCACACCTCCTCCTCCCTTTCTCCCAGTCCCTGCAACCACTCATCTGCTTTCTGTCTATGTGGATTTACCTATTTTGGATATTTCATAAGAATGAAATCATGTGATATGTAGTTCTGTATAGCTGACTTCTTTTATGTAGCATAGCATTCTTGAGGTCCATCCATGTTGTAGCGTGTATGAGTACTTGTTCTATTTTATGACTGGCTAATAGTCCATCATATGAAAATAGCACATTTTGTTTATCTGTTCATCTGTTGGCGGACATGTGGATTGTTGCCACTTTTTGACTATTGTGAATAATACTGCTGTGAATATTCTTAAGTATTTGGACATATATTTTAATTTCTCTTGGATATACATACTTAGGAGTGGAATTACTGGGGCATATGGTAAGTGTTCGTGAAACCCCAAACTGTTTTCTAAAGAGGCTGCACCATTTTACATTTCCACCAGCAATGTATGAAGGTACAAATTAACTCTAAATCTTCACAATAACGTTAAGAGTTAGTTAAGATATTATCCTCATTTTATAAGTGGGGAGATGGACTCACAGAGAGATTCAGTACCTTCTCCAAAAATCACAGAGCTAAGAAGTGACAGAATCATGGTTTAGAACCTGGAAGTCTGGCTCCAGAGTCTGTTCTTAACTGTTACACCAAACATACAGGGATAGAAGCAACTTCTCAATGCTATGTACTTAATATGTAAATCATAGTAAATCAATAATTTATGACTGAATGTGCAGCTTAAAAGACTTCTAAGCTTCCATCTTGTGATATTTAATATACAACTTAATATACTTAAACCTCATCTATATAAATTATTTCCCATAGTAAGAAAAAAAAGAAGAAAGATAAGAGAAAAAGAGAAGAAGAGGAAGAAACTCAAATTGATATTGTTGGTGAGTCAGTTTTCAATACTTTATTCTGATGAAAGTTAACGTTTGTTGAGATCTCACTTAAAATACTTTTCTAGTTGGAAATTTGTGACCTATTCGTAATTGTCCGAAAGTGTTCAAATATTATTTACAGTTGTAGATTCCTTTTATTCTTCAGTACAGCAGATGCAACTACTGCCTTTTCTTTTTTATCAGAACAAAGCACAGGAGAGAAGAAACATAACTCTGATTTAATAGGTACCATTAGAAATTCTGATATATACTTTTAATGGCCTGGTAGGAATAAATGTTATTCAACCAAATATATTTTACAAATTATATGCTTTGGGCATGTATGCGTTTTATGTGTAGAAGTCAGTTGTTTGCTTGTCTCTAAAGGAATTACTTCCGGTAAGTTATTTTGTAAACTGTGAATGAATGAAAATCTTAATTAACGTGTTAATAGGCCAGGTACGGGGGCTCTGAGGCCTGTAATCCCAGCACTTTGGGAGGCAGAGGCGAAAGGATTGCCTGAGCCCAGGGGTTTGAGACCAGCCTGGGCAACTTGGTGAGACGTCATCTCTACAATAAATTTTTTTAAAAAATTAGCTGGGTATCATGGTGCATGTCTGTAGTTCCAGCTACTTGGAAGGCTGAAACGGGAGGATCGTCTGATCCTAGCAGGTCGAGGCTGCGGTGGCCGTGAGTGTGCTACTGCACTCCAGCCTGGGCCACAGAGTGAGACTCTGACTAAAAATATATATAGATATTACATCAAGGTAGCCTATGAATACCAGAGATAAATGAACCCAGACACACTTAAGCAGCCTATTTTCCATTTTAGTCCTTATCTTTCCATATAAAAGCATTTTTTCCCTCTTACTTGGCAAGTTGCATTTTGCATTTTGCATTTTGAAACTTCATAAATTATAGCACCGTTAAAAATATGAAATGGTAAAAAGTGAACATGCTGGAAATCTTATTTTTTTGAAATGATATTTCAACAAGTCTAAAATTAGTAAATATCTTGGGTAGATATGTAGGTGTCGAACTGCTGTATCAAAGGATATGTGAATATTTAACTATATAAGAAACTTCCAGAAAGTTTTTTAAGTGTTTGTTCCATCTTACCAAGAATGAATTAAAGCTCCAGTTATTTTCTTGTCAACAATCGGTGATGTTATCAGTCCTTTCTGTGGTTTGCCTTTCATTTCTTAATGGTATTTTGTCGATGAGCAAACGTTTTTAATTTTTATAAAGCTGTTCATTTTTTTTTCCTTTTATGTTTATTGCCTTATCTCTTAGATATAAGAGATCTTGCTTACCCCAAAGTCATGAAAATATTCTTTCTTTTGGAGGCATCAAAGTTTTTACATTAAATCTATCACTCATCTCAAATTAATTTTTGGCCCAGTGTAAGCTAGGTGTCAGGATTAATTTTTTTTAACATACTGATACCCAGTTGTTCCAGACCACTGTTGTTTCCTTTCCCCATTAATCTGCTTTGATAGCTTCATTAAGATTTAATTTACTTTCTACATATTGGTCTATTTCTAAACTCTGTTTCATTGATATATTTGTCTATTATGTTGATTTGATTGTCTTGATTGCTGTAACTTTGTAAAGTCTTGAGATCAGGTAGTGTGAGTCCTCCAACTTTATATACTTTTTTTCAGAATTAACTGTTCTGAGTTCTACATTTCTGTGTACATTTTGTAATCAATTTATTAATTTCTGCAATAAAGCCTATTGTATTTTCTGGGAGAATTGTATTGAATCCAAATCATTTGGGGATAATCAACATCTTAACAATATTGAGTCTCAATAATTTATAGTTTGCAGTGTAGGAGTCTTGAATGTGTGTTTAAAATTTATTCTAAAATATATTATAATTTGCACTACTATAATTAGAATTTTTAAAATTTATTTTCCAGTTGTTTGTTGTCAGTATATAGATATACAATTGAATTTTGTATATTGACCTTGTAGTCTGATATGTTAAATTCACTTATTACTTCTAGTATTATTTGCTTATATGGAAGATGAATAAATCTGCAATCATGTTTCTTATTAGTATATACGTCTTTCTTTTTAATCCTTGTGTCTCTTATTTCTTTTTATTGCTTTATTGTACTAGCCAGGACTTCTTTAATGTTAAACAGAAGCTGTGAAAATGGACATAATTGTCTTGTTCTCAGTCTTAGGCAGAAAGCTTCAGCAGTCTACCATAGAGTATGATGTTACCTGTAGGATCGTCATAAACACCCTTTAAACTTAGTTTCTTGAGAGTTTACATTAGAAAGGTGTTTAATTCTATCAAATGCTTTTTTCTGCATCTTTTTAGATGATTATACAGCTTTCTTCATTTATTCTGCTAATAAATTACATTGGTTTCATTCTCAACTCTTTAACCAACTTTACATTCCTAAGGTAAATATCACTTGGTTGTGGGTGTTGTCTTTTGGCATATTGCTGGTTTTGATTTCTAATTTTTTTTAAAGAACTGCTAGATGTGTGTTGATGAGAGATATTGAGCCTTTGCTTCCTTTTCTTCTATTTGGTTTTGGTGCCAAGGTAATATTGGTGTCCTAAAATGAGCTGGGAAGTACTCTCTCCTTCCCTATTTTTGGAAATAGCTATGTAAGATTGGTATGGCTTCTACTTTACATATTTGATAGAATTTACCATTGAAGTTAGCTGGGCCTAGAGAGTTTTGTTTTGTTGTTCTTTGTGAGAACATTAAATTTAATAGATATTTTTCAGTTTTTCTGTTGTGTCTGTTTTGGTATCTTTTTAAAGAAAATTTTCGTATCATTTAAGTTGTTGAAATTATTGGCATAAAATTGTTCAGAATATTCCCTTATTCTTATAATGTCCATAGAATATATATTGCAATCTCATCATGTATTCCTCATATTGGTAATTTATATTTTTGCTGTTTTTTTCTGGATCAATTGGTCTAGCTGGAGGTTTACCAATATTTTTATCTTCATGTGATCCATCTCTTAGTATCATTTATTTTCTCTACTGTTTGTTCATTTTGTTTCATTTATTTCCTGTCTTACTTTTTCTTTGCTTTAGCTTACTTTTGATTTACTTTGCTCTTGTTTTATAGCTTCTTAAAGGGGAGTTTGGAATCCTTCACACCATGTTAGCTTTAGCTACAGCCCACACATTTTGATATTTTCATTTTCATTCACATCAGAATATTTTCTAGTTTTCTTTGTGATTTTTTTCTTTGACATATGGGTTATTCAAAAGCATACTATTAATTTTTATGACTTAGAGATATTGTAGACATCTAATCAATTTCTAATTCATATATAGTAGTGTTGGAGAACATATGTGCTTGGTGAATATCCATGTACACTTGGAAAGAATGTGTATCTGTAGTTGTTGATTCAGTGTTTTCTAAATGTCAAATCAGTTGGTGGATGGGGTAGCTATTCAAATCTTCTGTGTTGTTAATGAGTTTTGACTGATTCTACAGTTACTCAGAGAGTTGTGTTAAAATCTGCAACTGTAATTCTGGATTTGCCTACTTCTGTCAGTTTCTGCTTAAAGTATTTTAAAGCTGTGTTATAGAGTGCATTATATATTTAGGACTGCTAGATTTTTCTTATGAACTCAACTTTTCATTTTGATAAAATGTTCAGCTGTATTTCTGGTAGATGTCTTGAAGTTTACTCAACTTATTTGAAGGTCTTTTTGCTCCTGTCAAGCTTGGGGTTTGTTTTTTTGTTCTTAATTATTAGGATTTTACCTTTAGACTTAGACTGTGGCTCTTACTCTAGGAAGTGGATCTCATGAGGCCTCAACCAAATGTGCATGGTGTCCCTGCTAAGTTCTCTCCACTCTGGTGTCTCCAAAATTTATGTGGTCTCAATCAGCTCTCAGCAGCACTGGCCACTCTGCTAGGCCTTGTGGAGTCTGCCCAGAACATACACAGCCTAGCCTTGGCCAAAGACCTGCATGGAACTTTCATGTAATCTTTTGGGGCCCCAGCTCTGTGTGGCTCCCTCTTCTCCAGTACCTTCTTCTATAAACTGCAGTTCCTTCCGCACTCCAAGACTCAGCTCAGTGAGATTTCCTGGTTCTTTTAGAGCTCACCTTCCTTTCCCCATTGGGCAGAAAACCAAAGTGCATGTGAAATTTACCTCATGTGTTTCCTTTGTCTTGAAGATCACAGTCCTGCTTGCCTGTGTTTCAGTACTTGGGAATGGTTTTCCCAAATATTCCGTCCATTTTCCTGGTTGTTCATGGTGGGAGAGCAGGTATTCTGTCCTGGCTAAAAGGGGAAGTTCTTCTCTGTCTTCTTTTTTATTTCTCATGACCTCCTACCTTCTTTCACATTATGGATTTTTCCAAGTTTGATATATAAATAAGCCTATGCCTATTTCTGAAGAGAAAGGGGGGAAAAACCCTTTTAATTTTTTACGCTGTTATGTTGGTTTTGTGCAAGGATCTGAAGGAAAGACCTAAAAGCAGAGTGGATTGGTAAATAGGATGAAATCCTGTGTTTCACATGAAAAATATCAAGTCTGATAGTAAAGAAGAGTATCTTCAGTGAACTCTACTAGGTTTGGAAGTAACTGAATGTATAATGGCATCCTTTGTGAAACTCCTAGATACTTTGTTTTCCCACAAAACAAAGCCAACCTCTGGGTTAACAGAAGCTCTGTGAAGAGTACTTGGATGACAGTGTCATAAGGAAAGAAAATTCCATTTCCATACACATAGCTTTGTGGGGACTTGTCCTTACTATACCTTAAGTAACAACAGAGATTTAAGGGGCGCTTAGAAGCAATGGGTTGGTCAGAAGGTGAGGTGAGCTGTCATACAACCTCTCATGTGTATTGCCTCCTCTGGGGGATTAATAAGATATGTGAGCTGCAGCAGGAGGCTATGAACAACATGGGTGGCAGCCTTGCCACAAAGAGAGGCCTCTCAGAATGCAAGTCCCTCTTCGTCTCTTGATGCCAGAAAGAGAGGGTGCCATGGCAGTATGGCAGTATCTTGTTAACTATGGCAGCAGTACATTCATCTGTTTGACATTTAGAAAACATGTTTTCTTGTGCCTTCTCTGTGCCAGTCCTATGTGAACAAGATAATTGGCTCCTACACAAAAGTGGTATTGCTGGATCATACAGTAATTCTATTTTTAATTTTTTGGGAAAGCACCATACTGTTTTCTATAGCAGCTGCACCATTTTATATTCCCACTAACCGTGCACAAGGGTTTTAATTTCTCCACATCCTCACCAACACTTGTTTTTCTGTTTTTTATAATAACCATCCTGATGGCTGTAAAGTGGTTTTGATTTGCATTTTCCTAGAAACTAATGATTTTGAACATCTTTTCACAAGATTTTTGGCCATTTGTATAACTTCTTTGGAGAAATATCTGTTCAAGTTATTTGCCCATTTTTAAAAATTGTCTTTGGTTTTTTTGAAGTTCTCTATAAAATCTGGATGTTAATTCCTTATATGTAATTTACAAGTATTTTCTTTATTCTGTGAGTTGTCCTTTTCTCTCTCGACAGTGGTTTTGACGCACAAGTTTTTAATTCTGATGAAGTCCAGTTTGTTTATTTTGTTGTTGTTTTTGCCTGTGCCTTTGATAAATATCCGATAATTCATTGCCAAATTTATTGTCATGAAGCTTTTCCCATATTTACTTCTAAGGGTTTTATAGTTATTGCTTTTACATTTTGATCTTTTATTTATTTTAAGTTAATTTTACAATGTTAGGTAAGGGTCCAACTTCATTGTAGCTAAAATTTTACATAATTTTAGAACCAATTATGAAAAACCTGAAATATTTAGTTGAATAGGAAATTTTGTACAGTGTGATTAACTCAGTTTCCAAAAACTTTTTTTTTTGGAGTTGGAATCTCTCACTCTGTTGCCCAGGCTATAGTGCAGTGGAACACTCAAGGCTACTCCAGCATCGACCTGCTGGGCTCTGGTGATCCTTCCACCTCAGCCTTTCAGGTGGCTAGAACTACAGGCACACGCTACCATGCCTGGCTAATTTTTTATTTATTGTAGAGATGACGTCTTGCCAAGTTGCCCAGGCTGGTCTCGAATCCACAGTCTCAGGCAATCCACTCGCCTTGGCCTCCCAAAGTGCTGAGATTATGGGCTGAGCCACCAAGCCCAGCCTTAAACACTTTTTAAATGGAAATTTCCAAAGTAATATATAAGTAGATAGAAGACTATAACGAATACGTCATGTACCCATGCTCCTACCATTCATAAATCAATATTTTGCCAATCTTGTTTCATTTATAAACTCACGTACATGTATTTCTTTCTTTTTTTTTTTTTTGAGTTGGAGTCTCACTCTGTTGCCTTAACTGGAGTGCAGTGGCTGCTCCCGGCCACCGCAGCCTCAACCTGCTGGGCTCTGGCGATCCTTCCGCCTCAGCCTTCCGAGTAGCCGGAATTATAGGCATGCGCTCCCATGCCCAGCTGATTTTTTGATTTATTGTAGAGATGAGGTCTCGCTGCCCAGGCGGGTCTCGAACCCGCGGGCTCAGGCAATCCACTCACCTCAGCCTCCCAAAGGCGCGGGATTACAGGCTGAGCCACCAAGCCCGGCTTATTTCTTTAAGTATATAAATGTGCATTTTAAAATATGGTCAGTGCTTCTTCTGCTCTCTGTTTTATCGTTGGTTTTTATACATTATACTGTGTCATCAGACCTTATATCATTAATTGTAATTCTTTAATATAACCTAATATTCAATTAGTGATTGACTTATGTCTATTCTAGCTAAAGCACGATTCGGGGAGATTTGGGGCTATTTTTTTCCATTAAAATAGTAAACTTTTACAAAGATTGTTTAAATGATTGTACTCTATTGTTTAACATTTCTATTGACAAATTAGAAATTAGTGTACATAGACATAGATTCTGCTCACTTTGCTTCCAGTCTGAAATTATCGTTTCCAGCTTAGACTACTGTGCTGGAAAGTCTGTAGGGGCACATAGGAAACAGGTTATAATAGGTGTTGCCTCTGGAAAGCAGGCGTGGATGGATGGCTGAGGTCTGGCATGAGGGACTATTCTCTGTATGTCATTTTGTATACTCACATGTGTTGCTGTTTTATGTTTTGAAAAGAACCTGGTCCTGAGCTATACTGATCGTCATGTGCATCTAAGCACATACACACAAAGGAGTGCTAAGTTTCCTGGATTGTATTAGTGTCAGTTTCCTAGTTTTGACATTGCACCATGGGTATGTTATGCATAGGTATGCAAGATGTCACCATTGGGAGAAAGTGAGTAAAGGATATATGAAATCTCTGTATTTCTTAAAACTGTAAAATGAAAAGTTTTAAAAAATAATTATAGTAACAAAAAAAGTACTTTGTATCAAAATTAAAATATAAAGCTTAAATATTGGTTTTGTTTTTTAGGAATTTGGTGGGCAGTAACAAACTTCGGTGAAATTTCAGGAACCATAGCTATTGAAATGGATAGAGGAACCTACATACATGCACTTGACAATGGTCTTTTTACTCTGGGAGCACCACATAAAGAAGGTTTGTGTCTGGTGGAAACAATGGAAGTAAAAAGGCCACTTAAAGTATATATTTTATGGCATTCATTTACTGAGACCAAATTTTAACTAGTCTCAAAGCATATTCCAAAGGAACAGAGGCATTACATTTGATGCTTTAATTTTTTTCCTTCTGCATTTGAAAACATTATGTATAGTTCCAGAAGAGTATCTTTGGAAATCAAAAACAGCATGAATAATTAAGATAGTAAGTGGAAAGGAAAAAGAAGACCTGCTTGAGTAAAAGATTGGAATTTATTTTTCATTCATACTTACTGCCAGGACTAACCTGGATGTGTTTAACAATTTGCAGCTTTCTCATTCTCTTTAGCCCCTCAGAGGAAACACTAATAAAGTATAAATCAATTGAAAGGTTGAAAGCAGTACCATTTGGTTTGAATGTGCATCCTCTGAATAAATGAAAGCATTTAGCTTTTTAATTCAGTGCTTATTTATGACAGCATTTTAAAATATGAAGGAAAAGTATTTTGGAAATGATTAAATAAGCATCATGCCAGTCTGTATTAACTAAGTATGTAAAACTAGCACTTTAGTTAAAAGAATATAAAATAGATCTTAATTCTGTGGATACTGCATTACAGTTATATCAAAATATCTGAATATTCTTATGCTTAACTTCAAAGAAAAAGCTACATTTTTAAAAGTAAAATAATTTCTATCTATATTTATAACAAGTGTCAAATTTATTTTCAAATTTTTTTTGTCAATAGTTGATGAGGGCCCGAGTCCTCCAGAGCAGTTTACAGCTGTCAAATTATCTGATTCCAGGTAAGCTTGTGTGGAACTATGGTTAATAACCATTTATTTTTTAAATTTATTTTTATTCTTTAAAAATTTTCACTGTCTAGCTGTCTGAAGCCCACAGAGTAATTCTGTTGTAAGCAAAATAATATTTTTGAAAAGTGGATTTTGAGATTCATTGTTAATGGATTTCCTATCAATATATATTGCTAGGCTGGAACATATCTGTAAGTTAAAAAAATGAAAGTTAATGTCACAGACTAAACAAGATAGATTAGAAAGATCAAGTTAAGAAAACAAACAGGGGTGGCTCACACCTGTAATCCTAGTTCTGTGGGAGGCCAAAGTGGGAGGATTGCTTGAACACAGGCATTTGAGACCAGCCTAGGCAACATAGCAAGACCTCTTCTCTACAAAAATCAAAAATTAGCCAGTTGTGGTAGTGTGTGCCTGTAGTCTCAGCTACTGGGGTGGCTGAGGCAGAAGGATTGCTTGAGCCCAGGAGATTGATGGTGCAGTGAACTATGATTGTGCTACTGCACTCCAAAAAAAAAAAAACCAGACAACACAAAATCTGGTCCAGTGTTGCTGTGATGCATACACTATAGCGACATGAAGTATGTAAGTTAATTGAAAGATAAAAAGCAGTATTGGTTTGGTTCTGATGGGCATCCTCTGAATAAATGAAAGCATTTCATTTTTTAATTCATTGCTTATTTATGACAGCATTTTAAAATATAAAGGAAAAACATCTTGGAAATAATTAAGCTTCATGCCAATGTTGCTATGATGCATAAACTCACTGTTCAGAAGTCAAGAAACAAACAGGGAGATAAGAAAAAGGAATATTGTTGAAACCAGCAGAGAATGTTACATAATCATAAAGACCAAAAAATTTTTACTATTTCTACAGTCATTTTATAAGATGACCTTTATTATTCTCACAATATAAAAGTATAGACTGATATTTTGGGTGGCAGACACTGAAAATGAATTTAAGTATTTTTATAATTGGTTATATAAATATGACAATGATTTGTATGATATTATCATTAACTTATAAATAAGTATAAAGCCAATCCTGACATTCCAGAGTTTTGCAAGGTAAAAAAATGAGAAATAATAATTTTTTAAAAATCCACATTGATGGTTATTTTATACTTTATTTGAAAATCTGATAAGTATGGAAAAACACTGTTAAAGAATAAAAGCATAGCAAGAAAAAAATCAATAGATACAGATTGCTTTACAGTTATAAGCAAAAAAAAATCAACAAAATTAATTGAGAAATGAGGAAAATGTTTGCAACCTAAAGAGGCAATGAATTCTTTTTTTTTCTTTTAGATCAATATTTTTTATTATGATATTGTGGGGTACAGTTAAGGGTTCGGTATACAAATATGCTTTGTTCAGGCCCCCTTGTTGATAAGATGTGTCTCCCCATCCCCAGACAGATGTTTACTACCATTAGTCCCATCCCCCTTTCCCTCCCCCCCATAGTTTCCCACCACTGTCAGTCATTTTCTTATGGTAGTACATTGGATGATC